GGGTATCACCCACTGGAGCAGCTTCCGCTGGCCCGCCGCTTAGCGGCTTAGCGCGTCAGGAAGCGCCCATTGCGCAGGTTGAGCCTTGAACCTGAGGTGGAGCTTGGGTGTTTTACATTGTTTTGCTCTCGATTGAGGTGGAGTTTGGGACTCTGTGTCACTCTGTTCGATTTTTTTGCGCTTCTTGGATCATTGGGCCGGGTCTCAGATTCAACTACGCCGCCCGCGATGACACCTCCGTAGAAAACATTGTCGGTGAAGGGCTTTCAGGTGAATTCCAGCACGCGATTGAAAGCTGCAATGCCGGCCAAAGACTTTGTTTCAGGGCTGTTTCAGAAACTCGTGCCCTTACCTTTTGCTTTGGTGCTGAGCTTCTGAGGCGCAAGAAACATTTGTCAAACGATCTTTTTTTCTCTTTTTTTCTGAAGTGGATCTTGAATGCTTGACGTTGCAATGATTTAAGCACTTCATCATACTCCGTTGATCCGTTGATCATAGCCGCAAAGCTTGACCTTCATCCTCTACTGTGGCACAACTTATCAGCAACAGTCAACCTGTTGCAAAACAGATGACACCAACATCTCACCGGACATCATTTCGTATCAAGTGGAATAAAGGATCCTGCACATGTCTCATATGTCGGCCTTCCCATGGGACCCAGTGCAACATGATACTGCTGGTCACGGTTTCGCTGGTTTCACGCTGAATAATTTGGTTCCTAATCCTTCCCCAGACTTAGCTCCCCCTTTTTTTCTTCTTCGTTGTTTGCTTTTTTGGGGTCCCTTTGTTTTCCACTAACCAGGCAAACATATATATATATACATATTTGCTGGACTGGGGTCCTAATTCCAGCCTAGAATCCAGTCGCCAGTCGCTGTTGACGTCGCCTTGTCGAACGGCACAAAGACAAGCAGGAGAAAGTATCACAACACTTGCCATTCTGTTGACCGTCGCGCAGAGTTGTGTTTGTCAAGCATCGTTGCCGCAAGTTAGAACCAATCTGTATGGCCTGCCTTTGTACCTGCCTTCATTATGTTTTGTCATCCTAGATCCCTCCTGGCCGCTGCTGTGAAGCACAAATCATATTTGTTCCATCCACTCGAACTAACCAGATTGTCATTTGAGCTCGTGGTTTTGCCTACCGGCTGGACAATGAAGGAAATAGAGCCATGGAGCCTTTAAATATAGATGGCTTGTGTGCCGTGAGCCTTTGGAGTTCGCCCTCAAGAAAAATGGGAGGGTTGGCTTTACCACACCTTGTTTGGTCAAGCGTTTAAACATTTCACCGCGAAATCCTTGTTGGCACGAGGGTTATGCCGCAGTTATGCCTGATTAGCATAGTATTCCACGGCTCGTCACGTGTTTGCCGCACTTATCCCTGCTGGTTTCAGTGACCTCGCGGCAGCTTCGTTTCATCTTAGAGGTTTAAGAGCCCTCGCGTGTGTAGTTTGATGTGCATTCAGAATGTGTATCCGCAGCTTACACGCATGTAGTGTTTTCCGCCTTGATTGTTCTTGCCCCGACTCAGCGAACCAACTCTCGCCAAGCTAGGTTTAAACTCACCAGCACAACAAAACACAAAAGCCAAAGCACTAGCCAGCTCACATACTGCCTAAGCTCAAACTGCGCTTGCGGACTGATTGCGTGGCTGTCTCGCCTTACAAGCTGACTAGCCATTTTTAGGATTCAACGCACAGAATGGCTCTGAAGTAGTAAAGCAACACAGGCGAAGATATGTCATTGACATCTAGGGTTGACAACTCAAGTCGATGACATGCAGTGACTTGCATATTTGTTCGAAATGCGTTCAACTCATATCACATTCGGAAAGGAGTCAGCTTAGCGGATAGTTGTCATAGTTGACTTTGTCTATTTGGTTTTAGGCATGTACTGTCTCGAGTTTGCAAGATTAAACTTGTCATCTTGGTGTAGTCCGGCTAAGCCAGCTATCAGCTGCTAGCTTGACATAGAGCTTCAGTCAGATTCGCTTCACTATGTCTTGTCTTGTTGAAATGGGTCAACACCAGAGTATGTGGTATTTGAAGTTGTTCACAGTGCCATGACAACTTACTGTATGATGGTATGTTGAACAATACAAGCAAGGAATTGTTATTGGTTTTCACAAGTACTTTTTTGTTGAAATTGCCAAATTCCTACAGGTCCCTTAGGCTACATAGGACCTGAAAATAACGATCGACTGGTTTGTTGCAGCACAAGACTTCAGCGCAAGCTCTGCCCAGGTCTGCGCAAACGCAGAGAAGCGCGCAAAGCAAACAAGCAAACAAGCGCAATTCGGAACCTTGGGAGGTTGACGGGGCTAGCAGTCCGCAGATTGCACAAGAGGTTTAGGGTAATCTCACAAGCGCAAATTGTTTTAGTGGGCAAACAGCCAGCGGAGTGATTTCACATGGAGCGACTTGGGGACTGTGAGTGAACGAGCGAGTTGGTGAAGAAGTGTATGAATTGGCAAATGGATGTTCGAGTATGTCACTTTCTTTCTTTTAGATAGGATTGATGGAACCAGCATGAGGGTCCATCCCAAGAACGACGTTTTCTTTGGGTTCCATTTCAGTCTGAAGGCATGCAATCAGTGCTTAGGCTTAAGCATGAGTGAGCCTCTGACAGGCCTGGCTTTTTCTTGCTCAGGCGCCTTGCAGGTTGGCATGGCCTCTACGGTAACCACAACACGGACACTGGCAGCTGGGAAGCTTAGATAACATGACTCTGTAGCTGTCAATGTTCCCAGAACTTCCTTTTGGTTAAGATGTTTTTCTTTTTTAATTTCTCCCTGTTGGTTTTAAAGGGATTGATTTCACTACTGGACAAATATTTTTTCCAGGGGACTTAAGCAGATGGGGGATAGGAAACCGAAAGCTCATGGGCAATGGGGAATTCTTCATTTTGTTCTGAACCCCTGTTTGACACGCACTTACCGGTTCCACCTTTTGCCTTTTTGGTGTTCCTTCCTTTTGCTGTGAAACCAGCAAAAGTTAACTTTGCAGAGATCAACGCCTGGCCCAGGCAAAAGTTCAGACGCGACGACGATGCGCAACAGGAATTGTTCTTCGGTGTGCTGCGAATTTGTTTGCACCGCGGAAGCGTGAGCAAGAGCATAGTTGTTTTGCATCAATCAATGGGCTTGCAGTCGTTCTATATTGGTTCATTCCTAGCTGTCAGCAGGAAGGTGATTGTCGTAAATTACAGATGTGGCACATGCCGTGGGGGGGGTTGGTTGAGATATTCATCCAGCATTGGGTTTGTTTTACAGCCTGCATGCATTGATGTGCCCATGCCTACATTTTTGTTCATCACACGACACACTAGGGTTGTCATTCAGCTGCGTGACCCCTATCAGCTCAAGCGAATTCAAAGACGTCCGTTGCTCGGCTGTGCATGCAGGTTTGTTGTGGTGCACAACGTTGCTCTCACGACTGGTGGCTCCGTTGTGCTACCACTTCCTGCTACTGCCCGGGCACCCAGCTGTGACGGCGGAGTGACGAGCTGCTTGTTGCGTTGACCGCTTTGCGCTGTTTCTATGCACATGCGCATTGGTGGGTTGTTTGCTTGGTTCTTGGCGCAAACAGTTTCTGTTTGCGCTCGTGTCATGTGTGATCTTCTTCAGGTCTCTCAATCAGGACCATGTCTTAGTCTGAATTTGCGTCCGGCAAGGCATGGTGACTTGCATGGGATACCCGTTTGGGAACAAATGACTTACCTAGTGGATCCTGCCTTGATAATCTGGAGTCGGTTCTTCGTGGTGCCCTGCAATAAAACCAATCTACATGTTGCGTGCACGGCCAAGCGTGCCGTGTCAATCCCAGTTCAGACTGACATGCCCTTGCTAACGCGGCTTGCGCGTCGCCATCTTCACGAGCATCTGATCTGGTTGCCACGTGCCATTTCAGGCGATAGAACTCCCCCATTCCGCAGACATCCGAGATGTTTTGAGAAAGGCCTTAGAACTCCCCATATTTTGCGGAAATCAGACATGTTCTCAGACATTTTCCCGGGTATGTGGAACTCTTTCAATTGATTCCCAAAGTCTCTGGACTCGAAGAGCCGAAATTCTGGATGGATCTCACGCCAGGAGCGGGGTCAAAGGCACCACCTTCCAGGCCGGGCGCAGCTCGGGGGGAGATCCCAATTGGCCCCACACGCCCAGACCCAGACCCAGACCCAGACCCGAACCCAACCCCAGATCCAATCAAGGCACAACGAGTCGCCAATCCTGGCCGGCGCCTAGCCAAGCACAGTGCACTGGAAAGAAGGTGCGATGTGCACCACGTGGTGTTGGTGATGTGCTCTATCCACTGCTGCCGATACTAATAAGATTTGGAGATGTTTAGACATGCTGCACGGTTTTTCCAACTTGACACCAGGTGTCCCAATAATTTAGATAAGTGAGCCAGTTGGTGATTTGGCAATTTGTGTATCTTGTTTCCCTCAAGAGCATTGCCCAAAGTGGTGCTAGTTGAATTGCTTGGTTTACACATGCCTGCATGTTGGCTCGTGACTGAGGCAACGCGTGAAGAGCAGCCGTGTAAACAGACAACTATAGATGATCCGAATGGATGGAATTCCTTTCTGAAGACAATGAATATCTTAAAAGAACACCCGGTGGTGTGCAATGGTTTGCAGTTGGTTGACGGCTGGGTCTAAGTGATGTTTTGAGTGAAGGCCCAGAGACACTCATGGCAAAGCCGGAGAACGTGCGGTTGGAGCAGATACATTCGTTCATGGGATGTTTAATATAATTCCGCTGAAATCGAGAATTCATTTTTCATTCACACTCAAGCAGCAGCGCGGACTGCGAAAACCCACTCGCATTCCTCCATTCCGGATATCAGAAGACACGCGAGCTGGCTGCTGCTGCTGTGGTTTGCTTCTTGCAGAGCGGTTCTGGTCCTGAAGGGATGATGGTGTTCCGCTTGCCGCGAAGCAGCGTTTGGAATGTATCATAGCTGCTCGCGCGCCAAGCTGTTTAGGCGCTTGTCGACCACATGGACGTCGTGCCCGCCCTGCCTGCGCTGAACAAGGCGGGTTGGGACTATTGTACGAAACAGGGTTTCAAACGAAGAAGGTGAGGAAGAGTTTCTGAGAGCCCCTGTGTTTGAATCAGGTACAGCCAAGGAGCTATGCATCCCTGAGTAAAAAATCAGTCAAAGAGCACTTTCCCTTTTAGGTTCCTTCAAATGTGCTCTTTGACTCTTCGGGCTGCAAAAAGATCAGCATGTCCCAATCTGGAACTGAGCACTAAATAGCACTAGAATTGCAGCCATGGAGAATGAGTGAAAGGCGGACGACTGAGCAAGTGGTCCGAGGAATTGCACAGGCTTGTGTGTGTTTGTTAATTGCCATTCAGCCAGCAGCGCATCACCCGCAGTAGCCATATGTTGTGTAGAGCTTCTTTCTCAGAAGTGTCACTTTTAAGTGTGCGCGCTTTCACCTGTTCACACAAGGCCATTCATGCAGATGCTTTGCCGGTGTCCCGCCTGGATGTTCTAAATTGTTGCACTTGTCATGAACCGCATTGCAATGCGAGACATACACACATAACTGCAATTAATTTTCAAGTTGTTGCGTTGCTTATGAACATAAACATGGCAAGTGATTGTTTTGTCAAGGGTTTGAGTCTGCCCGGGTGTCCCAAGTTGAATCAGACTGGGACAATTTGAGGCCACCCGACGCATGTCAGAAATAGTTCCGTGGCTTTGGTGTCCGAGACTGTTGGCCAAACCACTATGCCAATGCGCGGTGGTGGAACTCAGGCAAACTCAGGGTATGGACTTGCTTGAAAGTTAATCTCATGATGTTTCAAAATTCAGATTCCCAAACTTCTGATGCGCCAGTTGAACCCTCTTTCAATGGAAGCCACAGGGTTCCTTGTAGGGTCTTCTAGGGGCCTCCACTCAGGCTCCATGCTGGGGACGGAGCGAGCCTTGAAGAGGGTCGCATAAAATGGCTCCCAAGTTGCCAAGAATACCCCAGTCTGCAGATGTAGGTTCGTGGAATCTGATTCGTGTTTGGTATGTTACAGTGCTTTGGATTCGATTCAACACTGTCCCTTGCAGATGTTCGCCTGCTTGCTGCCGTGCCTGGTCTTGGCCCACGTCTTCAAGTGGCAGCTGGGCAGCACAGACCTCAAGGGTCGACTGTACAAAGCTGCTCCTTTTACATATTCTCAGTGGTTCCCAGCCATCCCCCTAGCTCTGAAGCTTTTTAGTGTTTAGTGGTTGTATTTCCATTTAACCTGCTAAAAGTTAAAAACTTTTACCGGGGGATCTGGGGGCAGCCCAGTAAGGATTCACAAAACCTGGTTGATGAAAGGGGCATCACCCTCTTTTGTTCCGCCGGTTCTATGGCTCGAGAAGTCCTGAAGAAGCCCTAAACCCTAAGGTGCCATTGTTTCTAGGCGCCATGTATTTCATTTATTTCTTACAAGCAAGTACCAGCTGTGTATCGGTCCTGTGGAAGGACCTCAGGATAAGCTGATGAATGTTGGAATGAAGGACGCAGGCTGGCCAAAATCGGGCAATGCTCCCGTGGCCACATGAGCAATCAAAACCGATTCGGGTAAATGAAGGTTTGTAAGGGACGATCCCAGCCATAAACAGCTGCGGATATCCGCCTTCTTAGTTCTTGAAGCATGGTTCTGGGTCGACCAGTTTAATACCGGGTTTTGAGCAAGTGACTCACATGCAGATGTTTCATGTTGTGGGAGTGATCAAAGTTGCTCTGGGATCAAGCCTCCCACTGGCGTGAGCCTGCGGGGTGTCGATCATGGGGACGTGACCTGACTCACCAATTGGGGACGTAACATTGAGAGCTCCGGAGTTGGGAATATGAAGGGGCCCCCCTACGTCGGCTCGCGAGGTATTCGCAGGTGGTGCAGATCGTTGGCCTGGACACCTTGGACTTCGATGGTGAGGATCAGTCACTTGGGAAGCAGAGACTCGGGGGGCAGGGTCTCAAAATGGGGGTTGATCAGAAGGTCCTTTACATGGGATGACCATTGGGGCATACCACTAAAAAGACGATATGTCAATCTAAATGGGAAAATTACCCATGGTCATTTGGGGCCAATGGTTGGTTCCCTTTGCACCCGGACTAGACGGTTCTAATACACGGATTTTGATCGCACACAAGGGGCAGCGGGTGTAGCACCCGAAAGGAACCCATGTGTTAGAGCCAAGTGAATAGGTGACCCAAAAGAAACGTCTCTTCGGGAGATGGGAAGGACTCACAAAGATTCAACGGTCAGAGTCAGTTTCCCCCGTTTGCTTTATGGGGACACATTCTGACGGTGGCTTTCATGAGCGACGGATGATACCACCAGCGGAGCCAACATACCAACGGACCAGCCAACGTATCCACAGTCAGAGGATCATCCGATTTTCCCACGCACGTGCCTGATTGGCTAGGCGGCAGTAGTTCTTGTGCCGTTTGTTGTCTGGATTCCTCACTAAAGACACGATCCAAGAGCCTTTGCACGCGTCCGGGAGAAAAACAAATTGGCGGCCGAAGATATTTCCCTGCGGGACGCCGGAAGTGGGCATCTGATGAACCGACTCTTCGGCGATGCAAAAGGTTGACTTGCTCAAGCAACCTGTACATATTATATCATATTATATCATATTGTGTCTTTTTTGTTTTTTCCTTTTTTTCTCGCCCAAGTAAGCCGCAAGGGATAGATGGATCGCAACTTTCTCTGACGCCTAGCTTACCATCCAGGGTGTTTAAGCTGACAAGTGCGAAATTGATGGATTTCAGGAGCAATTGCTTCTGATGGATTGGCACGAGGTTTAACTTACTTCTTCAGCGACAAAAGCAATCGTGGCACACGTTGTTTTCTTGGTTAAACAACAAGCGAAGAAATCACGCTATCGATGTGTTTTGTTTTAGTAGGCTGCGACACGGTGGACGGAAGGATGCTAATTATTCACCCACTCGCGAATGGTTTGCCAAACGGTAATGATTCTTGGTGTGTGCTTCATGCATGACTGAAATAAGAGGCTCACACACACACAGGAGCACTTGCACATAGTGCACACGTAGTGTGTTTGAAGTTGCCGGGTGTGACAACGCCTGAGCGGTACGCTAATTGTAACTTCGGGTGTGCTGACCCAAGCGGGGTAGTGGCGCCTCTTAAGCGCCAGCGCTGCCAGCTGTTTCTGCCCTCATGTTCCAGCAGTGCAAAACATGTCTTCGAGGCGCTGCATTCACAGCAGCAAAACGTGTGGAGACAGCTCAAAATCACCAAACACCGCATTTTGTTTGAGGCGAACGAAGCATTTTCTGAAACAGCTTCGGATGAACACGTTGTTTGCTGCCAGAATCCACATGCTGCCCATCTGCGGCCGCGTGTTTTCTGCCGCGGATCTTCGAAGATCCAACCCTCTTAGCGTGACATTTGAAGAGTCTTCCTAGCTGAGCTCTCAAGCGTTTCTTCGCCTGACGACAACAGAACAAAATCCACCACTGTGCCAAGAGGCATGCACGGTGCACATGTAGAGACGTTTGGTTCACTAGCTTTCTGCTAGACAAGAACTTTTAGTCCCTGCAGATCTTCCAAAAAAATCACCATGCCGCTGCTAGTGCTCCCCCCCTCCGCGGAATGTCTCGTGCAAGATGGGGCTGGCATCAAAAGAACAGTTCAGGCGCTTCAGATGCACCGAAAACGTTCTGGAGCTTGTGTGTTTTGGAGGCGCCCCGGTTTGCTGAAACTTGCGAGTTCTCAGCAGGCAAGGGAGTGACCCCAAGAACAACCATCCCCGATGTCCCCCTTTTTTCGGGGGAATCCCAAACCCCGGCGGATTCCCAAACCCCGGCATTGGGCATTCCCTACCGCACCAGCAAGAAAAGTGAGAACATCAGAAATCCATAGAACTCCAGAGTCCTGGAATGAGAATTTCGGATTGATACGTAGGAAAACCAAAAAGGAAACCAACGGAAATGGGATAAGGGTCCCAGCACGTTCATGTCCGAGTTTTCTTTGGTCGGAGCTCGTTTAATAGTAAAGCTTCCCCCCCGACCATTTGTTGCTCGGATACCATATTTGACTGCCATTGTTGCTCAAGCCAAATGGCTACGATGCAACAGCAAAAAGGGATTCCCCCCCTTGGCCGATTGATACGTAGGGAAACCAAAAAAAAAACGGATTCCCCCTTGTGAACAGGGATTCCCCCCTTTGCCAAGCGGCCAACAGGGGTTTCGGAAACCAAAGCGCTCAGCGCACAGCGAGGTGCCCGGAGTCCGCGGAGCTCCTCGGCGAGGGCCGGCGCCTGGTGGCGCCTTGGACACCAAATCAACTCGCGGGCGAGCAAACATGAGAAAACATATATATATATATATATGCAAAAAAAACGAGAGAGAAGAACACACGGGGATCGGATGAGGCCCAGAGTTCGATTTTTCGGGGGTTCCGCTCCATTTGCCTTTTTTGGAAGCTCCCAAAGTGGCAGTTGTGGAAACCACCAGTCAATCGCAACATGGGAAGGGGAAATTCAGTGACACCTGTATTTTAATCTTTGGTGCATTTGCTTGGATGTTAGGACTTTAACTTTTTGTCAACTAATGGGTTTTCCATTAAACCACTAAAAGTTAAACTTTTAGCAGGGGAGCAGAAAGGAACCGAGTAAAGATGTCTCCATTTCCGCTGCTTTGTTATGAAGGAGTTCCGGGAGCTGGAAGTGGTTTACCCCAAGGTTCATGATTTATCCATCAGAGCTAATTGCTGGAGTTGGTCCCTGTATCTTGTCTCCGTACCACTTTTAAATCTTTACGCCGGAGGTTTGGGTATACAATGTTCACCTACGATTAGTACTTGGTCTCCAATTGAAGCTTGCTTGTTTGAGGGACCTCAGTTGTTTTTGGGGGAGGGGAGGGAGGGACTTTGTCCGACCTTTGATCTCGCCACAACGGCATCATCTCAGATGGATGGAGCTGTTTTCCGTGTTATCCGCGAGGGCGGCGCCCTGAAGTTATGCATTGGAATGGGTAGTTGGTGACGGGTGTCGTAGAATAGATAAGTGGCGCTGGGGGCACGCCCCAACAACTTATTGACACAAAACATTGAAAGCAACACGCGGGTGCAACTGGCTTAGAATGGACTTCAAATGCAATCGTGGCTGTTTGACTTTTGTTGAGCTGAAGGCTGAAGTGCAAGTCAGAGTGCCCATCTAGTAAGTGGGATTTACTCCAGCCACGTGTCAAATGATTGCACTTGTGGGTTGGTTCGGGTATCGGTTACATATTTGTGCATGTGTTGGGACTTTTACTCGGTATTTGTTAATTGGATTGAACATCATATAGGGGTTGGGAGGTCAAGTGGGATTTTTGAGGTGGTTGGTTTCCGTTTTGGAGGTACCCCTTTCAAACCATCCATCTCAAAACGGGGATTCCCCATGGGCCGTACTCCGCGTGCTTATTGTGATTCTCCAAGGGCGCATCTGGCCGCCGTGTGGGCGGTTTGTGTGACTGTATCAACAGAGATGTCAGAATTGGAGCGGGAACCCGGGAGAGGGGTGATGAACAATGCGACTTCTAAAAATGACCGGGTTTGGGTTCCATGTAAATCTGAAGGAGAGTAGAACCGCACGTATATGAAAAGATAATGAGGCTTGGATGTGCCCTGAAAAGGGTACCCTCAGGACAGTTGCACCCATAATACATTATGTTTATGTGTACAGAGAATATCATCTTGTGCATTGTAGGTTTACACTTGTTTGCATGTGTGCGTACAGTAAATATTGCATCATACAATCATACACAAATGCCAAGCCGTTTGATAGGACTACATGACTGTTGCTATCAACTGTTTGACATGTACATTGTATCCTTGAAGCGCCGCTTACCTTGCTTCTCGTTCCGTACAGTTTGCAACATGAAGTACCCTTAGCTGGGAATTCGACGAAAGGATAGCGTGTCTTTGGCAGGTCAAGCCCTCCTGAAGAATTGGATAAATTGGTAGATGGCGCAATTCTCTGGTCGAGTCACCCCCTAGACTTGCCCAAATAAATCAGGGTGTGCCACCGGCAGTGTAGCAGATCTCCCTCAGGTGGTGTGGTCTACCACACGGTTGTTTGATGAATAGCAACACTGAGCAGTACGCTGACCATTTGAACAAATATGGTGACCTCATGTTGCAACTCATGATCATGGTTTGCTCTTGGAGTTTCCACATTCTAAGTTGTACCTTATGTACAATTCGGTTTTTCCAATACTTACATATCACAGATATTTGTACATATGATCATTGATTTCATGTATACACAATATCTATACATCATACATATATATATATATATCATATCTACATATACCTATGCACATTCATGTGCATCCAAAGTGTCGTGTTACACTCTCCATCTCTCGGGATCCGGTCGTTCCTTCTCGCTTCGCTCAGGAGATCGCCCGGCGGCGCCGCTCCGAGGCCGAGTTTGTGGAGTCGGCAGGTTTTTTGGAGCGACACCCCACCAGTGGATGGACGAAATCCTCTTGGGCACCACCTAAGAATCCATGGAATGATGAGATCCCCTGCAAATGCCAACGATGTTTCCCGTGGTTTCAAAAAAGTGGTGCGAAATGGATTTCGTTCATAGTAGGTACTTCTACCTGGTTGAATTGGATTTAGAGTAAGGCACAGACTGGGGCTCTATAGAGCCTAAAGTGAATGGGCTTTGGGTGCCCATGTGATGGTGCCCAATTTTAAGACCTAGAATTTAGGCACGGTATTTCGCGAAACCGAGGAATGGCACCGACAAAACCCCCGAGGGGACCAAAGCCACCCATCGGACGCGGTTGGAGCGGGACCTGCGCCTTTGGACCTTTAGGACCGCAGCTTGCAGCTGGAGCTCAACGACCGGCGCGGTCCCCCGATTTGGCCGTGGTTGTCAACACCATTAAACGGGGTCCCATTTTGGGGTTTTCTGTGCACCACCCATTTTGGAACCTATAAAAAGTGGTTGGATTGAATCGGATGTTCACTGGGGGTACGGAATTTTGGGTTTTGACCAATAGGCGTTTATCGACTTGCTTGCGCTTTTGATCGTTTTGGTTTCTCAACCTCCAGCGCCCCTTCGAATGGAAATCTTCATACATCTCAGGCAGGTTAAAAGAAAAATCCTTTGCGGCGTGGCAGGGTGAAGCAAGTGTCATATTAGGACAGATCTCAGCATCGCCACTTGGCTCAAATCATGCAAATGCGCCAGTCACAATGACTCACAGACAAACAATCAGCTGTAGCTATTCCGGCCTCCCACACTGCGAAACTCTCCTTCTATGGGTCGGCAGAATGTTTTTCGGCCTTTCCAAAGTGGACTGAAACTTGAGGATTGCTTGTCCCATATGTATTTTGAGGCGAGCCAGTTGCGAGACGCACAGTCTTCGGATTTGATTGCAAAAGGTCAGGGCCATTCACATCACCATGAGTTCATGTCGAATAAGAACCCCACACTGTCAAGGTCTCTCTCTCTCTCTCTCTTTGTCTCTCCACGTCTTACTGACTCTGAGGCGGGACGAGAGTCGGGCCATCCCCTTGCGAATGCAGATCGCCCGGCTTATCGAAGAGGGGACGCTGCCGCAGGAGAAACCGAGGGCAGAATCCCGAAGTGGGTGTGTGACCGTGTCTTTGTGCTTGATGTCTTGAGATCGCTCTGTTCAGGTTGTGTTTTTTGGGAAGCCTGAAGGAAACTACTAGTTCGGAGCTGCCTCTATGTTGACACATTCTCAACTTGGCTTGGCACAAAGGCAAAATAGGTATACTGAGGAAGAGGTGGAAGCGCAGAGAAGGTAAAACGCTAGACAAACGCTGTCGCGGATGTGAGAAGTGGGAGCAACAGGCCGAGCAAGGAAGCCCAATGTGCTGTACAGGAGCAAAAGCAACCGCAGTGTCTCTTGCACTGTTCACCATCAATGATTGCACATACAGGTATCAACATACCATTTTGCACGTGTCAAACGCCAACACGCCGCCGCGTGACGAGACAGAAGCACAAAAATGTAGTTGTTCAGTGTGATTATACAAAGTTCCATACACACATACATATATATATACACATGCATATACGTGTGTATACACTCACAACACCTACTTTCTTGATTATGTTCACAACAACTTGTGCCCAATTGTTCGCTCGGAGTCAATGGCCAAACAAACAGTACTTCTCAGATGCCATATGTCCGACCTTGATTCTGCGATGGTGTGGACTGTTATGAGAGTGAGGGCTTTGTGGTTTTTCACGGCAAGCGGATCAGAGCCAGTGCAGCTCAGGTCCGTTTTTTCGGGTGTTACTGAGCAACCAAACATAGCTCATCAGGTAACTGCTAGTCTGTGGTTTGGATTGGTGGCTTGGGATTTGAATCCCTGGTTCTTGTGGAGGGTAAATGGGACACCCTTCCTTAATCACTAAACCGCCGCGCTCGAAACCACCAATTGAAGGGAATCCAAATATCTAGACGGCATCCCATCGCAGGATTGGAATGCCAGCAGCCCCAACTGAGTCGCAGACTCAGAGACCGCGCAACCCGTTCTGGTTTTGCCCGGACGTGTCGACTGGTGTGCCGTTCCTTTCGGACCAAAAAGGAATGGTTTCCAGGTCCTGAGGTCACCATGACGCCATGTTGCGTTGCGTTAAGGGCACACTAGAAAGGACACGAGCAAACCACGGCCAAGAAAGCTATCGAGAGTATTTTCCGCTCTGTCCAGCTTAGCTCCATATATATATATATTAACGTATTAATATGTATACATACATATATATATATATACATATATATATATATGCATAGAAGTTTTGACATGGCTCTATTGCCGAACGTTCTGGTTTTCTAGCTGCTAATTTGTCTCAAATGTTTCAGTGTTTGAGCCTCGAATTGTGGGTTCCAGCACTTCAGCTCCGATTACACACAAAATTCTAACTGCTGTTGTTCACTGCATGTTTTTGTTTTTGTTTTTCCAGTGCATTTATTCATATACTTGCTGCATTGTTTTGGAACAAAAACATTTGCTTTGCAAATTCACTCCAGGGTCATTGTTGTTCACTGCATTTGTTCATATACTTGATTTTGGGAACCCTGCTGTCCAACCCCACGCGGTAGCTTGCTATTGGCTTCTTGGTTCTTGAGGCCCTGCATTTCATATTTCATGTCTGAACTTGGTCTCTGGTTTATCGGTCTGGGCAAACCCCTTGGACGGATGTTTTCGTTAATCGACCAAATAAGCTGGTTCACTTTATTGGACATTCTTGGCAGGACAGAGGATAGCGAACATGACATGGAAGCAGAGTATGGTCAAGGAATACCACCAGGCCAAAGGGACCCACAAAGTGATCAGCTTTGATGCCAGCCCGGGGGCGGGGTACCGCCGAATTAGACATGTTTGGAATCATTGGCTTGTGTTTGTACTGACTATGCTTGCCGATAACATGTCGCAGTCTTCCCAACAAGGCCAACAAGGGGGGGATGCAGCGGTGGGAAGGACGAAGAGAAGCAGATGGTGTTAGATGTGTGATGCCCGGGCTCATTTATCCGGGCTCATGCTGACCTATAGGTTCGCATGATGTCCAGGCTCCGGAGCAACACAAGAACGCGTTCCTTTTTGCGGCAGCTTGTGTTGGACGGAATTCGTTGGACCCATTATGTGTAACCAGCCAGAGACGCTTGCCATCAAAGGGTCAGGTGGACGTGTTGACCCATTTGGTACGGAGGTTGGACGAGTTTGATATAATTAGTCTTTGGTGGGCGCTAACGATGAACATATCCCGGCTGATCCAGATTAATCACATGCAGAGAATCCACTGTTGCTTCTTCAATTTGGGGTAGCCCGTTACAAGGGTGTGGAACGAAAGGTATTTGCATGCATTTACGACTGAACTTGACACAGGCTTAGAGTCGACCCCGGATGAATTCGCCTTGTGATTTGAAAGGGGGTTCCTCAAAAAGTACGGGTTCCTTTCTGGAATGTCACACGATGCCATTGAGCAACCGGGGGGTTATTGAGCCTGGGTTTGTATCACGTGCCAGTTATAGTTAGGTGAGGCCATGCGCAACTTTTTTCGGACTCAAAAGTCTAGGGTCCACCCTAGGATTTTTTGCATTTTTTGAATAAGCGCACCAAAACAGCCATTTTAAAACATTTTTTGAAACAGTCTAAACACATTTTGATAAATATTTTTTTAGTACTGCATACCAAAACAAAAATTTAATTATTTTTTGAAAAATTCAATACACCTAAACATGTTTATTTTCAAAAACACACATTTTCCAAAATATTTTAGAAAATATATTTTTTTCAAAAGAGATAAATATATATATCATTTTAAGAAGAATTATTCAATAAGAAACAACATTTTCAATAATTCAATGAGAAGACTAATAATTAATCATTTTTCGAAATTTTGATATTCCGGAGTTGCGCATGGCCCGCCTTGTAGGATTTTATCTTCAATATATAAAACGCTATACTTACATTATAATTATAACATATAAGGGTATAAATGTTATAATCATAGTATGGTTATATTATTCAGGTTCATCAATAATTAGTATAAACCTTATGTGTTTTACTCCTACAATATTCATTGTATTCCTTTCATTATCAATATTTCTACATATTGTTGCAACTGCGTATTCCATTACATCAGTTATATTATCTTGGTCTATAGAACCCATTAAGTGTCTACCACTATGAAAATCAAAACCATAACTGCTATATTCATCATCCTCAAAATAATTAAAATGATGAAACCTTACACGTAAAATTATATCAACTATTATTATTGCTTTATAACTTTCATATCCTACATACTTATCTAGTAAGCTATCTATTTCATCCCCTTCTTTCATAACTATATCTTCAATACTTTCAATGCTTAATGGAACCTTCCTAGAAACATAATATTGACATATTTGTCTCTTTACTTTATCACCATCTAAATTATTACAGTGCTTTGTTTCCCTTTCTATGTCAGTTTTGTCAATTTTATATCTTCTTTGTATTCTCTTCAATGTTTCATTATGATTATGCTTTATTTTCATATATTCTGGCTTGCCATATTTATAGGACATAATATTATTAATAACTTCAACTGGTAGTTTTTGAAACTCCATTTCTATTATATATATATATATATAGTGTTTATTTCTTTAAATACTTTTTTACAAGAAATAAAATTAAATATTGGAATATACTTATAACATATAATATTTTACATGTTATAATCATAGCATGGTTATAATCAAAATCATTCCCCGATTCTATCAAAATCATTCCCCGATTCTATCAAAATCATTCCCCGATTCTATCAAAATCATTCCCTGATTTCTGTCAAACTCATCACAGTTTCCAATATCAAACTACTAGGTATTTTATATAGGTCTTGTTGCTAAATAATTCTAATAAATTCATATTATTAGAAATATCTAGATTTTAATTTCCAACCATTACATATTTATCATCATCGCCCTTAATTAGTTTATAATATTCTAATGTTTGTTCTTTTGGACTTTTGATTTGTCCCTTATTTAACATATCGCAGTATTTTTTACGCTTGGTATCATAATCACCGCTAGGTCTGCCTATCCCTTTCTTTTCAAAAATCTTATTCATCTTCTCCTTCTCTTCGTTGCTTTGTTGTTCGCGTTCAACTGGTTTCATTTTGTCATCAATGGATTTAATCATATCATTTAAGGTTTTGATATTGTTACCAATTAATGTTATCTTCTTCATTAAATCATTAACAGTATAATTCTCATTTTCAGACATTACTATATATTTATTTAGATAATTATTTATTTAATTATATATTTATAAAGTGCATTTATGTTAAATCTACTCTTTAAATACTAACTTATGTCCCTGTTAAAACTAACATTAATCAAATGTTCGTTAGTTTCAATAACCATATCGCCATCTGTTCTTTTCTGAATATTAAAATCTTTATCTGTTTTTTTTATAAGAAAACATACATGGGACACAACTAACTTTAACTCCACCTTTCTTATCTACTGTCAATTCATTTTTAAAATTCATTATGTGATTACATTTATCACATTTTATAGTCTTACTTTCACCCATTGATTTAACACTTTCTGCTGTTTCTTTCCGTGCTTCAATATCTGGTGTTGGTCTTTCTTTGCCTTTACTCTTTTTCTTTTTTCCCATTTATATTAATATTTACATTTTTATTTTTGAGATATTGAATTCCTAACTTAATTATTTCTAATGAATAATAACAACATTTTTTTATTTTATTGTCAGTAATTATTACTTGTTCTATATTCTCCATTTCATCTATTATATTAATATAATCTGTATAACTCCTTTTCATATTAAATAATAAGATAATTTTTTTTTCATTTCTGTCTTTCTTTTCTTGTAAAGTTTTTTCATTGTATCGTCTTTATTCCATCTATATTCTACAAATTTCTGATGATATTTTGAATTTAGATGTTTAAATAAATATTTGTCATCATAAGTTTTACAACAATTGCAATGGATAACAGTCATATAATAATAAGATAAAATAATTATTTAAATTATTTAATCTTATTATTTTCATGCATAATAGAATATTGGTGGGGCACAGCACTTGGGGTTTTCATTGCACACGCGAGAGAGATACAAACTAATTAGCTTCAATGCTTATTGATTGTAGCAATGGAAAACCTGTTCCATTTTTATGATATTCGCCACCAGCATATCATAAAAATGATGTTCCATTTAATATTAATTACAAGTTAATTTTTAAATATAATTTTCTATATATCTTTAATATCAACTATGACAGATGTTCCAATAATAAAACCAATAAACATAACTGAATATGAATTCAAACAATCTAAATATGAGCACGTGCCTAAATTACCATTTAGAAGTATTATAGTCGCGAGTTCAACGGGCGGGAAGACTGTCCTTATTCAAAATTTAATATTGAATGTTTATAGAAATTCATTCGCAAGAATATTTATATTTTCACCCAGTGTCCATAACGACCCTACATTTACAGAAGTTAAAAAATATATCAGGGACGAATTGCACGTAGATGATGAAAAAGAACAAATTTATTTTGATAATTATAATCCAAGTGATTTAGAAAATGTAATTGAAAGACAGAAGAAAATAATTAATTATATGAAATCTAAAAAGATAAAGAAACTGCATTCAATATTAATCGTTATAGATGACCACGCAGACGATCCTAAATTTGTTAGATATAGTAAATTATTACACGGGCTTTTTACAAGAGGCAGGCACGATGCAGTAAGTGTAATTTGTTCAACACAAAAATATAATGTTTTAGCGCCTATCATTCGTTTGAATGCCAGTTCATTATATATTTTTAGGTTGAAAAATGCCAGTGAGTTAATGAGTTTTATTGAAGAAAATAGCGCCATTGTTGATAAACAGCAATTATTAGATATGTATCATCAAGCCGTTAATTTTGCTCCATATTCTTTTTTCTACGTGAATATGAATTCAAAAGACATTAACAAAATGTTT